CCAACGCTTGGTACATGTAAACCCACGTCATGGTCGGATAATTTCATTTAGTGTCCATGTAAACGGAGATTTTGAATTTCCGATCAACCAAGGTTTGGATCGGATCGGGGAAATTTTGCGCATGTAAACGTAGCTATTAATAGTTTTGTTTAAAGGTGACATTATTGAAAACATCACCTTTTCAGGGGGAATTGTTAGGATAATTATCATTGAAAATGTGTGAGTTTATCACACCTTGGTATGGGCTGCCTGTTGCGCGTCAGAACTGATGTTTTAATCTAATTAGGACAGTTCCTCTGTCCGGATATACAGTTATAATCTTCATTTTGTACGTGGCAAAGATTTGGAAATGGAATAAGAGTGGTGTCCTATTTAGATAAGGCTGAAGCCATGATGTCTGCTCATTTGCTAACGTGTATGATGTAAAATATGTTGATGTCCAGACTGGAGATGTATGAAATGTCTTTTTAACTGTTAATCGGGGCCACTTCCTGAGAGGTGAGCCCAGAGGTTAGCAGCTGCCATTCTGTAACCCTAAGCAATTTCTCTGATCTGATTAAGATTACAATTTCTATCAAAATCTGTTGTCATGTCTCCTGGTTATTTAATACATATAAGTTATGAAGTGGTGTTTAAAGAGTTTGTCCTGAGTGATCTTTTTTCAGGGAAAAGAACCGGAGAGATAGAGCATCAGGGTGCATAAACAGAGCCTATCTTTAACACAGGGAAAACAGAAAGCCGATTTGGTTTGTGGGTGTACAGTTTAGCTTCCACAAAAAAAAAAAAAAAAATCCTCTTGGTTCTACAAACAGCCACGAGGCGAAAAAAAGAAAAAGATCTGTACCTTTAGCTCTTCAGTCTTTGCTGGGTGAGAGATGTTCTCTGCACAGAATCACCTGAAAGAAACAGAGTGAGGGATTAAATATACATTATTTGCATTAAGAAAATGAAGTGAAATTATCCATGCAGAGAGTATGCAGGGATGCATGTAAAATAACCACAGGTTTTCTGATACTCACAGTAATTTTACAAAAATGGGTATTAAAAAGTTGTTGATGTTGCCTTTGGTTTTTGTACTAACTACATGTTAGACACGTCATTAGTTTAAACACTACAGACTGGGACAAGTATATAAATATGTTGCCTCAGTTCTTTGAACTGCTGGTTATCAGGTCAACCATCAAAATCATTTTGCATGCTTTTTTAACCTTCAGCAATTAATTTATCCGATTCTTTTTGTTTTTAATAGAATATTTGGTCAACATTTCTCAGTTTCACCTGCACAATGCCCAAGGCAACACCTAAGTGAACTTTAACACAGTTAACAAAAAAGCTATGGGAGTTATGACTGAATTTATATCTTTTATGAATGAAAAATATCCTATTTTTTGGACTTCTCTTTCCTATCTAATACATTTTCACTATGCAAATGTTAAACAGATGCAGTTTTCCTTCATTTATTCCTGATAAAAATAATTATTAAAAATTATGGATTATCCAATTCAAACAAAATTCAGTTAATATCAGTACACCAACAGTACAAACAAAAATTTTACCATATAGACTTCATTACAGAACCACAAACAAATCATCTTCTACAGATCTATAAACCAAGAGTAAATTCAATGCATCGGCAGTCATTATCATGCTATTGTCCTAATTATGTAGCAAAAGATCCTTCCGAGCCCAGAGATCTATTTTTTTTGTTAATTTAATAATATTTCCTAAAGCCCTTGATGTCCCAGAATCTCAGTGTAAGCGCTGGCATACACTGAACGTTCTCTGTATTTTTTAAATTTTGGGAGTATACATAGAGTATTCATAACGACTCCAGAGTGTATGTCTAATGACAGCCTTACTTTTGCATAACGCACGGCAGCACACTGCCTATGTAATGTCACAAGCCAGTGTCCAGAGAGGGGCAGCGATGCAGCCGGAGGCGCCCGGTCTGCATAAAAAGATTTATTTCATTGCGATATTAACCTAGATGCTTTTTATTGTCCGCTAAAAAAAAGAATAAATGAGCAAGTAAAAAGCAGATTGAGCATCATGTCTGCTAGGAAGTAGAGACTGACACAGGAGTGGATTTTCACTCCTGTCCTGTCCCACTCCCACAGAAAAAAATGGTGTCCCGTCCCGATCCCGGGCCAGAGTAGAAATCTAAATCCTGTCCCGTCCCACTCCTGGTGAAATTACTCCCACTCCCATCCCGCTCCCATTCAGAATGNACTATTGGTTTGCTCCCGCTCCCGTCTGCTCCCGTTAATGTTTAATCCTGTACCGTCCCAATCCCGTGATCGTTACTAATACTGACTCCCATCCCACGGGAATCCCACGGGAATCCCGTGACCCGTGGGATTCCCGAAAAAATGTCAGTCTCTACTAGGAAGTTTGTTGGTGGTGGGCCGATTTCCCCCTGTGAACCTCCTTTAAACCAAAACGCTGCCAATACGCCATTATACAGTAGCTGGAAGTTAGAAACACGTTCAGCGCTCGTCTGGAACACGTCAGATACGATAAGTTCTTGATAAGTTACACAGAAGATATGCATATGTTACTCATAGGTTTAGGATAATCTAGACGCCACGACTTATGAGTAACTTACACTTAACGTATGTCAATACTCAGATAACTAACCTGTAACTTAGGCCTACGTATGAGCGAACGCTGGCATACATCTTGAAATACTCTGGCAAGTACATTGCCATATGTAGAAGTGTTCCAGCATGTTTCAGCGTGCTCATAACTTATGCAACGTATGCCAGTGTTTTCGCCAGATTTTTTGTACGTCAATGTGTGACGGGGGCTTAAGCAGGAGTTGCAGATAAAAAAAGTCAGAATAGTAACACTACCAGACGTTAGACTATATGATACTTAAAGTCGAATAACATAGTTTGATCTGAATTATTTTTGCCTCTTTGTTTTTGTTTGAGGTCTCTCCATGCAGTTAACACCTCTCCCAATTTGCACTCTTGTCCTATCTGTCTCCACCAGATTGGTCAGTGGCACAGAAAGATTGACCTGAATAGTAGAGGACATCTCAATCCTCTTATTAACACTTAGATACCATCTCAGGAACTTAGAAGAGGACATATTAAGCTATAAATGTTACTCAGTGCTGCTTTAAAAAAAACAGCCACAAAGCATTTTTTCAGTCACCCATTGCATGGAAACAATGAAGTACGTGTCACCTGCTTCCTGTTAAATTGAGGAATAACAAGCTTCTTTTTTCCCTGGTTCCATAGTGTTCTTTCAATTTATGATATTCCATTTAAATTTAGTAGCCATCCTATGGGACAGGGCAATCTGCAGTTTAAGCTCTGTATCACCCACCAAAACCAAAACCAAAGCATTTTCTTTACTTCAGATTGCACAAAAATGTTGATGGAAGCACCTTGACTGCCCGAAAGACCTGGAATCCTGAAGTATTTTCCTTTTAATTCAAGTCTTTTTCAGGATAAATGAATTATTCAAGGTATCAACTTGCTATACATGTAAACATCCCTGGCCCATTTTTAATAAATCTTATTGAGGAGAAGAATTTCATGGGATAAAGCTGTGAAAAAGTACAATTTACCACTGAAGTAATATATTTAGTTGCAATGATGCATATTTTGCTTTATGCATCTTAATAAAACTGTGCAGTGCATTTTACTGGCATAACGAGGTTCCACGTCTTCAAAACATTTCAATATCCTGCTTCATAAAAGCAAATATCAGGAAACAAAACACCAGAACCTTCTTTAGCTTTGTGTTGCAGTGTAACATGGAAAGCAAAGTTCTCTTTAATAGCATAAAATGGGACAGAGTAAATTATAGCTGCACGTAACAAAACAGATTAGGGACAGAAGCAGACCTTCTTATTCGCATGTGGAGATATGCATACATTTTGCACACACGTCATGAACAGGCAGAAAACAGGCAGATGGAAATCTAGCCGTTTGTGTGATGCGTTGTCATTAGCTTAAAAGGCCTAAAGCTGGAGTGAGACCAGAATAATTATTGTGATTATAGTCTTCAGTGGTTGAGTTTCATTCCAATATGTTACGCACGCTAGGATTAAAATCTGGTATTTCATGTGCTTTCCAAAAAAAGATGCTGGGACCAACTGGCTGGCTGGAACATCAGCACTAAAGGAAGGAACAGAGCTTTTTCTAGATACCATGGGGGCCTAGGCAAGGGGGGAAACTGACACTGTATAGATGCTACATTCCAGATTAAATTAAGTAAATATTAAACCAGAGGCATGCAAAATAATCTTGATATATTAAATATTTTTTTATGCACATTGGGTTTCAATCACAGCATAATAATTTGGGATCTGTAAATATAAACCTGCTGTATATGTTGCTATTACTATAAAACCTCTGTTAGCATTAATATTTCAGGTAATATATTTACCAAGATTTGATCAAAAAGGCTGACCTAAATGTGGACAATGCTACATGTTAATAATTGAGAACAAGAAGAGCAAATACTGAGGTCTAAGGAAATCCTAAATTATAGCACTAAGACTGTAAACAGAAGGGCTAAAAAATTAATCAGATTAATCGATTATTGAGATAAATATCAACTAATTTAATAATCATTTAATCTGTAAATGGAGTATAGACTGTAAAACATGCCTTTACCTGACAGAAAAACACCCACTGTAAGAGAAAATATGTAAACATTTTATAACCTTTGGCTATCGATTAATTGAAAAAATAATCGACAGATTAATCGATTTTCTAAATAATGGTTGGTTGGAGCCCTGGTAAGCAGCTTTGATTTTTGTCAAACATAAAGCCTGAAACAAACTGTCTTAGGTGACAAAACAAAAACACAAAGTTGTTTGTTGGAACTCTCCCTATATGGCAAATTGACAAGTAAGTAAATAAAACACAGAATTGTGCTAAATGCTAAGCTAGCTCTGAAATGCTGTTCTTTTAGAGCAACATAAAACGTACATAAAGCTCCTGTTTCAGGAGTTCTATCAGACTGTCCTCACCACTTCCTGATTTTACTAGTGTATTTTTTTAGGGGAGTGGTGGCCTAGTGGTTAGGGCATTGCCCTTGGAATTCTGAGTTCAAGTCCCACTGCCACTCTTGGTCCCTGAGCAAGACCCTCCCCGGGCACTGCACAATGGCAGCCCACTGCTCCCCAAGTTAAATGCGAAGAGTTCATTTCATTGCTTTGTACTTCTGACTTCTTAATGTAATGACAACAAAGTTTAGTTCTATTCTGTATATTCCCTTTTAACTTCTTTTTAGCAGACAGGTCTTTTCATTTTCCATCTTCAGTCGACCATCACTCTGGGACTCGCTTCCTCCTCCCTCGCTACTTCTCGCCTCCTCTCTGACTCACTTCTGAGTTTAAAATAAAATCCAACACAGGGAACCAGGTGCAACATGCAGACATTCATTTTGAAGTTTGGCTACTCATCTTTTGTTTTTCTGTCCTTAAGCTCTGATGAACAGCAGATTGAATTCCACTACAGTACTTGTACAGTTCTTCAACTAGCCTGCAGTACTACAGCCTTGTTCTCTGCCAAGTAATCTCAAATGATTTTGTTAAATGAGCCTTAAGGATAAAGGATACAATGCAAGAAATATTTGAATAGATAAATAAGCCCACATCCTTCCTTTGACTACTATCTACATTACCAAGGCTAATCAAAGGTTAGTATACTGTTAGCTATTAATATTTAGTAATAAAAATAATCTTTATATATGTATATATATGGCTCATTCTTAGCGAAGTACACTAAGAATGAGCCACCCGGATCTACAGCACAGACATCGGATGTCATTCGGACTAGAGAAGTGTGGTCAGATGGTGACTAAGAGAGGGAAGGTGGTCCACACCCCAGAAGGAACAATAGCAGACATTGAGGACAGTTACAGGTACCTCAGAATCCCACAAGCAA